TATTCAAAATTTTCCATATTTGTGTCGGTTATAACTAACACTACTTCTCTCAAATAGGCATTTATTTCAAAATTTTCCGGCTATTTGTGTCAGTTATAATTGACATCATTTCGGTTATAACTGGCAAAAAAACCAACACTACTTCAAAAATTTCCTGCTAGCCCTTTCCCCCTTTCAGATTTTGTAGGGCCCACGAGCCATCTAACTTAGCCCTCGGTTGGAGAATGTTTTCGGATTATTTTCGGCCCTCTGGACCCTTCGGTTGGAGATGGCCTTAGAGGGATGGAAACCAAAAGTGTAAGAAGGATGGAACCAAAAAACAGCAAATGGCCCACTAAATTTGGCCATAATTCATCTGTTGCTGGTGGTATAGGGATCAAATAGTTTTCACAAGAGAAAATTTAGGAACTTATTGAGGTCAAGGGATCCCAATGCACCCCACCTTGGCTCTGCTAGTGCTCATACTGATTTTCTCTATTCTTGCCTGGAAAACAAGTTAATTCGTGAAAAATGTAGGAGAGTCAGCACCTAGGTGTAGTCAAGTTAACTATATTAAAATATCGCTCCCCGCAATTTAGATTAGATGAGAATATCGTTCGAATTCAAAACAAAACATAAATAACTAGTAAATAAAATACCCTTTCAGCAAGGCTGTGATGCGACTATCTGTTGCTTGACCCCTTCTTGCTTTCACACGAACCCCATCTGCTTGGAATTGGACCTCTTTCTCTGCAGCAGCTTTGTTCATCTGTTTGCTGGGCTCCCCTTCTTCCTAACCAAGATTAACCACCAAAAACACAAGCAAACAGAGCCACACACATAAATAATAAAGTGTTAATTGCATCATTTAAGGCTAGAAAATAAAATCCAATTGCCAAATCCCCACCCCAACCATTCTAATTGTGAACCAGACTCTCACCCGACAACGAATCTTATGCTACTTTAAAAAACATAAATTTCCCAAATCACCCCAAGAACAAAACCTAACTCCCAAATCACCCAAAAAACAAAACCCAATTCCCCAATTTTCCAAAAAATGAAGACCCAGTTCCCCAATGCAACATGAAATGCTACCTTAGAAACCATTTTCTTCCTCTGTTTTCTCCACCAGGGTTTGTGAATCCTGATCACCAGAACATATAGGTTTGGAGTTTTCAAATTTCAATGTGCAGGTTGTGGAGTAAAAAATAATTAAGAAAATTATGGAGGCGACACGTAGATTTTTGGGTAAAAATGACAAAATTACCCTCGAAGCACACCGGAATTCCCACGTGCATGCAACGGATAATTATGGCTCAATCAAGAAAGAGTCAAAAATGGTATTTATTCAAATCTCTCCCATCATTCCTCATCAAATCCTCACTCAAAAGGTAACTCTCAATTTTTCTATTTAATTTAGGATTAATTACCAAATTGATTGCAATATATTATTTCACATAATATCTTGCAATTACATTCAAAATACCACCATAAGTGGCTGGTCCCTATTCTCCAAATAGGGCCGGCCACACCCCTATTTATAGTCTCATTTCTTCACTAAAAAGCTAAGTTCAATCTCTCCCAAAAATCTCCTAAACACTTTTTCTCTAAAATTCTAACTTTGATATCAAAGATTTTTCGGCCAAAGCCCCCCCATTCATTGTGGGCACGTGAGGCTCTTGGCTGCATCTTAGGTGTTATTATTTTCCAGGTGCATTTACGTTAAAGGAGAAGAAGATAGAAATTTGCATCTACACAAGTAGCGACGAAATGAACTAATCCAATATCCCCCATGAGGTAGCTTTCGAGCATCAAGAAGTGTTTTTTACATCTAAGTTAGTATAATTGGAGAGAAATAGGCGGTGATAGGGATCATTTGCTTTGTTTTCCACATGGGGTAGACAGTTGCTTGGCTTTGGGGCATCAATTTTGAAGGGGATCATTTATATAAATTTAAAAAATAAAATCAGACGATGGTTTTGTCAAAGTAGATTTGTATTTTTGAAACCAAAAAAATTCATAGAAGCATTTTAAATTTTTCTGACCATTATCGTGTAATTTACCAATCAGAAATCGAAACCAGAACTCATTTGTCGAATTGGCTATGACGCCTTCAACAAAAACTCAAGTAGGAAATAAACAGTTGGAAAAAGTATATTCTTAGACATGAGACGAGGGCAAAAAGGGAAAAAAGAAAAAAGAAACAGTCTCTGGGAGGGGCCATCCAGTCAGATCCCACAACTGGTCAATAAAAACAAACTCCCACAACTAGTAATGGAGCAAACTTGCTTTTGTCATTTAAAACCTCACCAGGATCACCTAGCTTTTCCGGATTCATGACGTGTACGGCCCAGATTCAAACTCATTGCGTGTACTAGATTCCCTTGTCCTTATTATAAACTCTTCCCCCGGTCTTTACTCTCTCATCGTCCTTTTTTCTTATTTTTCTGCAATTTTTTTTCCTCCTCCCCGATCCGAAAGCGCAAGTGAAATCCCAAAGATCGCGATCTCAAAACTCTGCCATACAGATCTGAAAACCCAGAAATTTCTACGAAATATTCCAATTCTTCGTCTTCTTCTTTTCGTTTCTTTAATCTGATCGTAATTTACCGCGCTAATTTCCAGATATCTGGAAAAAAAAAATATAAAAAGAGGAAAAATTAAACCCTAAGAATTCAATTTTGTGTAAGAATACTTACTCTCTGGAATTTGTTTTGGTGGTGGTAAAATTTGGATAATTTTTTATAGCGATTTATGGTCGCTGGTGGATTTGGGTGGAACAATTTCGAGGAAACCCTAGAGGGTGGTGTGATGGGGAGAGATGATGAAAGTGCGAAAGTGGTGGAGGATGTAGAAGAAGGTGAAATTTCCGATTCGAATTCAGTGGAGGAGATCAGTGAGGAAGATTTTATCAAGCAGGAGAAGCAGCACGAAGTTAAGGTGGTGGTTCCGCGGCCGCCGCCCAATGATCAATCTAAATCCAACGGCGGAGATGATGCTAGGGTTTGGACGATGCGCTACATCTACAACCACCCGGGATTTCGGGGGTACAGGCCCGGCTTGGGTAGCCTCGCTTGGGCTCAGGCCGTACAGAATAAGCCGCTCAATCAGTTTCTGCAGATGAATGTTGATCCCGACGAGAAATTGAAGCGATCGTCATCGTCGCCGTCGGTGAATTCGCCTGAAAGGAGCAATGCGAAGGAAGTGGATAGAGTGGTGATTGTTGACAGTGGCGATGAAATGGATGCTGAGAAAGAGGAAGGGGAGTTGGAGGAGGGTGAGATTGATTTGGATTCGGAGGCTTCTGGTGACGAAAAGGCCGCCGCGGGTGTGGCTGACGAAGCTGGAGATGGTGTTTTGGATTGTGATAATATGAACATTGATAATCCAGAGACAGGCTTGAAGAATGAGAAGCTGGAGAAGCGAGTGAGCTCGATTCGGAAAGCTTTGGCAAGTGTTACTAGATACGAAGCAGAGAAGTAAGTGAACTGATTGATGTCGAATTTCGGGTCTTTGGGTGAATTGTGGGAGTGAAATGATGATTGCCCCAGCTTGAGTACCTTGCTTTGTTACTGTTAAACAATGTTTTCTTACAGTTTGGTTTATGTTTTGTAGATCATTTGTGGATGTTTGTCTCCAGTTACTCAACACTTTGGTGAGCTTGCGTGGGGTGCTTTCGGAAACTAATGTTTCCACAAAGGAAGCTCTTGTTCATCTGTCCTTCACTGCGGTACAAGCGATCACCTCCGTAAGCCATCTAAGAATTGCTCACATTGATGTTTTTCTGTCCAGATATTTCCAGATTCTGGTTATTGAAGTTGTATAGGTTTGGTTGCTGTTTGTTGCAGGTGTTCTGCTCCATGAGACCAGTCCAAAAGGAACAGAACAAAGATTTCATATCAAGGTTCTTAAGAGTTCGATGCTTTTTTTCTCGTTCTTGTAGTTTCTAATGCCGTTGGTTGTGTAGTTACTTTCTTTGTTTTGTTTTTGGTAACAGGTTACTTTCTTCTGTGAAGAATGATCCTCCTCTTTTTACCCCTGAGCAGATAAAAGAGGTGCTCATTTTGCTGTATATAATCATTTAAGGATAATTGTTGATGTTTTAGAAAGTATTGACATGGTTTCTAATTTCTCCCAGATAGGTGTCTTGACAACATCCTTTGTGGATTCCCCTGATGTTTTTCTTCAAACTAAAGCAGGCATTAAAGATGATGAGATACAGGTTATCGGGTTTAATAATAAGAATTCGGACGCTTCGGCTGTAAATGCGACTTCTTCAGCTAACTACAGCAATCCAATTATGTTGTCCGAAGTTCCAAGATCAGGAGTGTCTAGTTTGAAGGGTAGACGGGTTGTGCTTCCCCTGTTAGACACTCACAAGGATCATGATGCAGATAGCCTTCCTTCCCCTACACGAGAATCCCCATCATGTTTTCCTGTTCAGAACACATTGGTTTTTACTGATAGGATGGTAAAACCAGAGCCTGATACCTCCAGGGCGCCAAGTGCAGAAGGTTCTGGTTTGCATCCTTATGATACTGATGCCCTTAAAGCTGTATCTACTTATCAACATATTAACCGGAGCTCTTTTTTCATGAGTGAAAGACTTCCAAGTCCAACCCCTTCAGAAGACGGTGATAAAGGGGACGATGATACTGTTGGAGAGGTTTCTAGTTCTTCTTCTGCTAGTAATTTGAGAACTTCAGTTCCTCCTATTTTGGGACAGCAAGTTGTTTCTCGCTTCCCTATCCCTGTGGGTAGCTCCAGCATGCAAGAACGATTTACAGGTAAAAGTGCTGCCCCTGCGAGTTCTGGGTCTAATATCACCGTAAAAGCTCCAACTAGGAATAGAGATCCTAGGCTTCGGTTTTCCAATTCTGATGTGGGTGTCTTGAATCATAACACACAACCCTTGACAGTGCATAGTGCACCTAAAATAGATTCGGTTATAACATTAAGCTCGAGAAAGCAAAAACCCATTGAGGATTCTAAATTTGATGGTCCTGCATTAAAGAGGCAAAGGAATACATTGGGAAACTCGGGTTTTGTTAAAGATCCAAAAACCGCTTCTGGAAGTTGTGGCTGGTTGGAGGACATTGGTGACTTTGGACCTCATTTAATTAGCAATAATCAGACAGTGGAGAACACACTGTCTGATCCCAGAAAAGTGGTTGATGTTGTAAGTAGTCCTAGTACTGTTGATGGAAACTCAAATGGCCCAAACAGTTCAAACGAGCATGTGGCATTGACGGATTTAAGCACAGCTTCCTTGCCTGCATTATTAAAGGCTGTGAATCCAACCATGCTGTTAAACATACTTAAGCTGGGACAGCAGCAAAGGTTAGCTGCAGAAGCCCAGCCGAAGTCTGCTTATCCTGAAAAAAGTATGACACATCCTATAAGCTCAAATTCAATACCAGGGTCAGATGCATCAGTGAATGTTCCTTCAAAGACTGCAGCGATGTTGCAGACACTTCCCATTAGTTCACAAAAAGCTCCGATGGTGAGTGCTTGTGTCCTTTTTCCTAACTGTTGTTTTAGAATGGGCGAAGCATGTGTTCTTTTGCAATTTTTCCTATTCTGTAGGATCTCTCTGATATATTTCAGTTTTCCTAATTATTGATTTAGTTTAATTTTTTATCTTCTGTTTTTTATTTTCTATTTTTAGGGGTTGGGTTGATTACCTTTTTTACTATTTTGGATTCATAACTCCTGCTATGAGTTATAAAAACTCTTTGCGCTGCAAATTTTGCAGGATGAGTCAGGGAAAGTTCGTATGAAACCCCGCGACCCTCGCCGTATTCTCCATGGTAATGTACTTCAAAAGAGTGGGAGCTTGGGACAAGAGCAGTTCAGAAATATTGTAACCCCACTGCCGAGCAGCCAGGGGAATAAGGATAATCTTACTGGTGAAAAGCAAGATGGTCAGTCAGATATGAAGCTAGTCGCTTCTCAATCAGTAGAGGCCCCTGACATTGCTCGCCAATTCACAAAGAATCTGAAAAATATTGCTGATATGATGTCTGTTTCTAATGGATTAACAAGTCCAGCAATAGCTTCACAGAGTGTTCCTTCCCAACCTGTTCCAATCAACTCTGAGAGAATAGATCCAAAAGCTGAGGAGCAGCGTACTGGAAGTAGTTCTGCTTTTGAAGCAGCTGCTGCTGGTCCCTCTCGTTCAGCCCCCATGTGGGGAGATGTTGAACATCTGTTTGAAGGATATGATGACCAGCAAAAAGTTGCTATCCAGAGAGAGAGAGCAAGGAGGATAGAAGAACAGAAGAAAATGTTTGCAGCACGCAAGCTCTGCCTCGTCTTGGATCTAGATCACACACTTCTTAATTCAGCTAAGGTAGTCTTTTTGATGTATGGATTCGGTCTCTTGTGACCAGTGATTCGTAAGGGTCGTTTCCTCTATAAATTCGTTTTAACTTGGGTTTTCCTTTTCAGTTTATTGAGGTAGATCCAGTGCATGATGAGATTTTGAGAAAGAAAGAGGAACAGGATCGTGAAAAACCACAGCGACATCTCTTCCGATTTCATCACATGGGAATGTGGACCAAATTGCGGCCTGGGGTTTGGAATTTTTTGGAGAGGGTAAATTATTATTTTTTATATAATTATATTTTGGCATAAATTCTCATTTTATGGCTTATCTGAAAGTGGAGAATTCATTGCATTGCCTCTCTGGACATCAGGCTAGTCAACTTTTTGAGTTGCATCTTTACACAATGGGGAACAAGCTATATGCTACGCAAATGGCAAAAGTGCTAGATCCAACAGGGGTACTTTTTGCTGGACGAGTCATTTCTCGAGGCGACGATGGAGATTCTGATGATGGTGATGCTCCCAAGAGTAAGGATCTGGAAGGAGTTTTGGGTATGGAATCAGCTGTTGTGATTATAGATGATTCTGTGAGGGTCTGGCCACATAACAAACTGAACTTGATAGTTGTGGAACGGTAACTATATGCTTTGATTTAAGATATAATAATCCCTTGTACTTTGATGGGCTTGCTTGCCTTGTTACCCAGTGCTTATGTACAAGTACTTGTGCAGTTATACGTACTTTCCTTGTAGCAGACGACAATTTGGGCTTCTAGGTCCTTCTCTACTCGAGATTGATCATGACGAGAGACAAGAAGATGGGACTTTGGCATCCTCATTGTCGGTGAGGATGCTGTTCATATCTGTTCACTTGCTTCTCTGGTTCATTGAGGGTAATCAATTATCTGTTGTTTTGTCTGTATAGGTTATTGAGAAGATACATCAGATCTTTTTCTCCCATACCTCCCTAGATGAAGCAGATGTTAGAAATATTCTAGCCTCTGAACAGCGGAAGATTTTGAATGGTTGTCGTATAGTATTTAGCAGGGTGTTTCCAGTTGGTGAGGTCAATCCTCACCTACATCCGCTGTGGCAGACAGCTGAACAGTTTGGTGCTGTGTGTACCAACCATATAGATGACCAGGTCACCCATGTAGTCGCCAATTCCCTTGGAACTGACAAGGTATTGTTTCTCACATAATCTCTGCCATGAGAACCAATTACTAAGACTTGATATATGATTTCGGGCTTTCCCAGCTTCTCTTGATTACCCGGAAAAGAAAGAAAGAAAGAGAATAACCCAAAACTCCGACGCCTCTTCCAGAAGAGCCTTTAAAAAATAAACAAAAATAACTTATAGAAATCTTAGTTCAGTGTTTTCTCAGCTTCCTTTTCTGCTGCGTTCTTTTGAGTTGAGGCGTGACATTAATTGTTTGAGCAGGTGAATTGGGCTATTTCTTTGGGAAAATTTGTTGTCCATCCTGGCTGGTGAGAAATTTTCTCTTGTTTGCTCATATTTGTTATCTTTGTCATTGTTAATTTCTTTGTATGTAGGATTTGACATGGATTTCCTTGTCCTAATTAACCAGGGTGGAAGCATCAGCTTTGCTTTATCGGAGGGCAAATGAGCAGGATTTTGCCATTAAACCATAAACAATCACCACCCTAGCCCTTCCGATAACTAAAACTGATTAACATAGAATCAAGAATCGCATTGGAGTCGGGATGAAAACCTTAGATTATGCTGAGAGCAGCAAAGCCCTAGACCTGACACTGCTTGGCCTCGTTTGGAGTCTGTGATTCATGTTTTCCACCCATTAATTGGCAGTTGCACCTTAAATTGCCGAGGTTTTGCTTTCATGGTCGGTTTCATTGTGAGAAGAGGAATGAGGTGGTGAACTCTTGCTCGAGCTTTGGTGGCTCAGTTCGGGCTTGGTGGTTCTGGTTGGGTGTTGAGGTGCCTCCCTGTCACATTTTGTTCCTGATCAAATAAGACAAGGTTGCCAGACGTGGTCACTTCAGGGACGAGGATGGTAAAAGGCAAGTTTTCGAGATCCAAAACGTAAAATAAGAGATTGAAACCTAGTGATGGACCAATATGGCTCTGCTAGGAGGTAAATTTCGGAAAAGGATGGTGCGGGTATGAAGGGAAAGGTGGTGGTGTGGGGTGGTTGGGATACAAAACTGTATATCCGGGGTGCGAAAGAGTAAGTCTGGCAAGGGAGAAATTGGTCAGTCGAAGCAGCATTTGGATATTTGGTAGTCAGCAGGTGGGAAAAATGGTTGGGCTGGTTGTGAAGGTGCCTGATTACAGTTAACCCTTCACCCTAATCACAGCTAACTAATGATTTAGCTATTGAATTTGCATCGACACCTAATTAACTTGGTTTTCAAAGAAAGAAAACATCAAGAATAAGCGAGTATACGGATTTTCATGCACACGAATTATGTTACATAAGATTTCAGCCTGGATCGCCGTTTACATTGTTTCAACATATAAATCTCATTTTCTATTTCTCTCCCTCACGTAACTTCTGAACCCTTACATATATGAAAATCCGCTAAACTTAAGGATGACTACTTGAGTATTCTTTAGGCAGGAAGGTCCTTCGGGAATTCAGAGTTGTTTTTTTATGTCAGAGTGATGCTGATGCCTAAAAGCTTATGAGGGTATTTCGAGTAGTAGTCAAGAATTCGATGAAACTACCATTTTTAGGACTCGCAGGACTTCTGTATGGTTGTAAAAGGTATGTGGACGTGAACTTGCTTATTTAGGAAATAGCGATGGTTGCCTAAACCTTACAGCATCATTATTTGAGAATGGTCCATACTCCATTTTTGACAAGGTTATATTTTTTAAACTACAACTTGTTTAAAGACGGTCCAACAACAAGTGATGAATTGACTTAATGATTATAGTCTTCTATCTAACTCAATGGAGAAAGGGTCGAATTTGGATATAAAAGACGAATGCACTGTCCTAGTCAATTAGCTCAACCCACATATGCTGGGATACCCTATGAAGGATGTTTCTTGAGGTAGAGTCTCTTTGTTTGGCTTGATCTTTTTATATTCTCAACGATCTGCATCTTAAATATAATAAATTCTCAGAGATAATTTAAGGGATCCACATTTAAGTAAATTGATTGATTTCCCAACATAACATTTCTGACTCCTCAATTTCGGTCAATTTCACATTAATCATTCCAAATTAATTTACAAATTATCGAATTTAAGTGACATAAGAATATGCTATTGTCAAAATAATAATAATATATCGTTAAATAAGAACCCTTGATTCAATAATTATATTGAATGTACGGTTTTGATAATATCATACTAAACCTAATACTTAATTTTAACTTCAACTACAAAATAAAAGAGCTTTTCATAAATAAAAATGCAATTTTTTGAAAATTGTAAATGTCAAAATCGTACAATTTCACACTTAAAACTTAATTAAGAGTTAAGACGCGTCACATTCTCGAAAATATTTTATTTTTGAAGTCCTTAAAATCAGGAGGATATTGACAAAGAGTGTTATAAGTCAATATAAATTCAAAGAGGGAGGAGGGTTTCTGGTTTGATAGCTCTGTAGAGCGAGCATATTGGTGGAGAAGACGATGGGTTCGATTTCAGGAGAGATGGTGAAGAGGCAGGAAGACCAGGCTGCCTCCTTTTCATGGTGGTGGGACAGCCATAAATGTCCCAATCAATCTCAGTGGCTTGAAGCTACTCTCTCAGGTTTAGTAATACGACTCCTTTTCTTCTTCCTGATCTAGGGTTTTGAGTATGAGCACCCAGTTAAGTACACCAGCTTCTGCATGGTGCACACACACACACACACACACACACACATATATATATGTTGATTGATCTTCCGTGTTTGGTTAGGGTTTAAAGTTTAATGAACTGTTAAAATAAAATAGTCATCATACACTAATTTTAATATAAAAATTAATAGAAAACAGGCTGCTAACAACATTTTCCTAATTTCTCACATGCCTCATAATACCAGGTTTTGTAATCGATATTCATTCTACACTATTTCGTCATCAGAAATTTTATTTGAATCCATGTTTTGTATCTTTTGGCACTCTTTTTCAGCACAAAAATTCAGGGGGTGTAATCAAATGAGGATTTTAAAGGATTTTATAAGACTTTAAAATCATGGTGTAGTCAACTAGGATTTTAAAAGATTTTAAAAGAATCCATTCAAATATAGGGGTAGTCAATTAAAGGATTTTAAAAGACTTTATAATCCTGATGTAGTCAACTGAGATTTTAAAGGATTTTTATAGAGTCCATGCAAATCTATAGTTATTCAAAAATTCATAGATTTTGAAGGATTTCTTTCAATAAGAGATTTTGTAGGATTTGAAAAGGGATTATAAGCATAACAAAATCCTACCTCCAGCCCTACCTGCTAACCTAATTTCCTTTCACGTTCATCTGTAATCATCCCAGTTGCAAACTCAAAATTTTTTGAATTGTACAATATTTTTTGAAATTTTTATTTCCTTTACTTTGGACCGTGTAATAGTATCTCTTGTAATGCTTTGATGGGAAGTGTTAATAGCAACTAGCAGTTATTGTAATGATTATGCATTCTATCTGAATGTTTTAATTTTTTTACCATGTTAATTGAACTCTTGGAAATTACTACTAAGAATCTTATTACCAATTCAAGTTTTTTGTTCTTTTTCGTGTAATCATGTTATTGTAAGGGTCAAGTATCTTCCAAAGCCTATTTACATTGGTAACTGTAGTTAGACTGAATAACACATTATGAACTAATCAATTGTTGAGGAAAAAGGGTTAATTTTGAGACATTTGATTTAAGAAGCATTACTTGTTTTGATTAGTTAAAATTATTTTTCGTAAAGAAATCACAATTCAAATGAGAAAAGAAAAGAAAAGACATATTTGATTGGTTTATATTTCCATACCAATATACATATGCTTATGTCTTTTTCAGATTTTGCACTGAGAAAAGAATTTATGTTGCAGGAGTCAAAAAAGAAATCCTAAGAAATCTATGAAGAAATCCATACAAATCTATAATAGAAATCCATAATAATATTTCAAAATCCATATGGAATTGTAGAATCTATTAAAATCATTTGAAATCTGTCACTTAAAAAAGTTCATTAAAATCCTCTGAAATCCAAATTGACTACATTCTCAGTTTGAATCCCTACTGATATGGATTTAGAGTGATAGAGATCCATAGTTATGGTCTTCGTATCAGGATTAATACCATCTCATGGGATCACAAAAAAAATATGGAAAGAAAAGTAGTACACATGGGTTGAATTATTCATTTCCAACTTTTTAACCAAAGATATGGTATTATTGTTGCAGAGTTGAACGAAAAGACCAATCTCATGCTAAATATAATTGAAGTAGATGGAGATTCATTTGCAAAGAGGGTTGAGATGTTCTTCAAAAGGAAACCTAAGCTCATAAACTTGTTAGAAGACTTCTACAAGTCATACCGATCGCTCGCCGAGAAGTATGATCAGCTTCGATCCGAGCTGATTCAAGCGTCTCATCTGAGATCATTTTCTTCTTTAGATTCCCTAAAAGTCCAAACCATGCAGAAGTGTGAGAAGGAAATCTCAAGTTACTTGAAAGACAAGTCTCTGAAGACACAGGTTGAGACAGACCAAAAATCCTACGAAGAATATATGGAAAAAGAGAACATTGATCATGGCGTAGAATCTGATATTAATGTGGATGAAAAAGTGAAAATGTGGGACGAAAAGATCTCAGAACTCATTGACGGAAATATGCAGCAGCAGGCTGAGTTGATAAGGAGAGACAAAAGGCTTTTGTCTCAGGTGCATAGGCTAACAGATGAGAACAAAATTTTGTGGAATCGTCTGATATGCCATAAGGATACTACTGATGATATAATTACAAGCCAAAACAAGCCTCAATTTTCAAGGTCCAAGTCCAAAGGGCCATCTTTCTTTGGAAGGCTCACTGGATGCACTGGTACTTGATCTTAATTAGCTATTTTTCAACTTAATTAATTAGCGTTTAAGTTTTCAAATGTGTCTATTTATATGTATTCATAATACATATGATGATTTGGCGTAAATTATGACATTATTAGTTTTTATTTCGGCACCTTATAAAGAATATGTTAATGTTTTGATTTAGAGGGCTGGAATATTGTTTTACCTGTCTGTTTTGTTTTGTGAGAAGAAATGTAATTGAAACACCTTTACGTGGTGTGCTACTCACACCAGTTATAGCTTATCTTTTCAATGTTGAAGAAGGACCCAAGTTCCTATTTTCCCTCCCCATTGATAGAAACAAAACATTCCTAATTACGTTGTGATCAGTCAAGGAGTCCTAGTCCTTAAAAGGTTATGATATTTCAGATTTGCTAAGATACGAGGTTTTTTTACCCAAAAAAGTTGTAGGCCAAAATAAGCAAAGTCATCCGGGATAAGTTCCAAGTATCCTAGTTCTTGAAGGGGTATCCTGGATAGAGCTCTATATAAAGGCATCATGGCCCCTCTTTAAAGGGCAAATTCTAAGTACTCGATCTCTCCTACACACTCTGTCTCAAAATACTTGATTGACTTAGGGTTTAAGGCTCTGGACGACAATCTCGAGAGGTCATACCGCTGCTAAGACCATGGAACGTAAGTCTCTTAAGACATTGCTTAAGACAGACCAAGAATTCTATGAAGTATCGGATGTTGGAGCTCATCGATGAAACTATGCAGAACCAGGCTGAGTAGATCAGGAGAAAAACAAATGAGCGGATTTCGTTCGAGGTACACAGGCTAACGAATGAGAACAGATTTTTGAAGTCTCACCTGGCAAGCCATAACTTACTATTGAAGGCAAAACAAATATCAGTTTTCAAGGTCCAAGTCCATGGGGGCATCTTTTCAACTTAATTAAGTAGAGATTAAGTTTTAGTTCCGGCACATCAGTATATAATATAGAATTTTGTTAATGTTTAGTTTTCAATATTGAAATAATTTACTTGTTTTTGTTTGGGCGGCCTTTGTTTTCTTTAGTCTTTCTTTTGCTAAGAACACCTTTTGGATCCGTTCATCGATCAAGTTCTACATTATAACGTCGTTTCTGCACTTAAGCATCTCGTTAAAAACGAAGTTCAATTAAACTTTAAACCATAGAAAAGTTATTTATAGTTAATTACAAGAAAAATAAGTTTTGTATATATATATATATATATATGTATTTGCCGATTTTATCACCATTTAGTGTGAATGGTACAATTACCAGAAAACATGAACTTGGTGGTAACATTTTTGTTAAAATATATTATCTGCATCTTAGGTGAGCTTTCTTTTCTTTTCAAGTTTATGACTTGGGGTTAAAAATTTATTAGACTAAAGCTTGTGGAACATATCTTACGCTTCCTTGAAAACAAATTCTAGTTTAATAAATTCTTAGTGAAAGTCCTTTAGTTTACAGTGGTGTTTATGCAAATTTTTCTATCTCAAATATGATATTCAAATCATATATAAAACAAATTCAACCTCATTATCATAATTTTCAATATCCAATCCAAAATTATGGTAACAATCTTACTTTTCTTTTCTTTTTTATCCATTCAAACTTAAAATCATTCCTCCCTTTATGGAGAAACTTATTTGTCTTTTCACTTATAATTACTGTGTATTCACTGTACAAATATTATAATTAAAACTGTTCATTTTGTTTATTATCATCTAAAAACTATATTTACAAAAAAAAAAAAAATCATTTAGTTTGGAGATCTTTTAGTCACCATGTATGTCAAACCAATCGATAGTTTTGATAAGTAGCATTTTCATGAAGAATCATCCATTTGTTTGATGCATATGAATGATTAAACGATCATCAATTTATTTGATGCATATGAATGACTAAACAATCTCTAAATTGAATAATTTTAAGCAGATATAAATTTTTTTTTTTGAACAAACGATATTATCTACATTAAGGGGTAGGAGAATGAGTTAAATTTTACAATGGGCTAGTAATAATGTGGTTCAAATTCGTCTTTGATGAGATTCGAATCTAAGACTACTTACTTACCAGTGAAAAGAAATATCATTAAATCTCATACTAATTGGCTAAGTAGATTAATCTTGTTATGATAATCATAAGCGAGAGACGAGTAGATTCACCGCGAGAGACAAACGCTATCCCTCTAATTACCCATTTACACCGGAAAAAGACCAATTTGCCATCATAAATTACTCGTAAGTCGTGATGCAATATCTGACTAACGTTAAGTTTACAGACAGCGGTCTGCTCAATCCAAAGGCCCCCAAAATCTCTCTGTCCATGCTCTGGTTCAGTTTTCAGCTGAAAAAAACTCCGACCTTGGAGCCGTCGAGTCCCCGCCTACGCTACCCCTACATCCTAGAGCGCGATCTAGGCCCCTCCCATTGCCTGTAACTAACTAACTAACTAACTAACTGACTACAACTCCGTGGACCGGAGGCGAACCGACAGCCCGGTCTACGCCCGCCAGTGGACGAGCGAGTCCGCCACCACTGTCGGCGGAGCTACGTCTCCTGCAATGTCGCCTGTGCGTGGCCACCACGCGCGGTCCTCCTCCGCCAGCGGAATCTCCAACATTAAACGCACTCAGAACTTTGCCGCCAAGGCCGCGGCCCAGCGCCTCGCTCAGGTCATGGCCTCTCAGACCGCCGACGGCGACGACGACGACGATGATCATCTAGGATTCCGGTACAGTGCTCCGCCGCCGCTCTCTCTGTCGAGGAATGCCAACAGTCCCGGTGCTAAGCCGGCGGCGCCGTCTTTGAAGTCCACTACTAGATCACCTTCGCCCGCGGTAAATCTCTGAAATTTCTCAATTGTGCACTTTTTTTTTTCGGTTGTAAGTACTGAGTGGTTGAATGAATTCTTCAAAATGCAATCAGATCGTGCATAAATTTGAGCGGACGAAGAACTGAATGTGGATTTAGTTGCTCTTGTATTTGAAATCCGGTAGTACATTGCTCTATCTATTCTGATTAACGATGAATTTTGTGAAATTCTGCCCTCTTCAGCTTGAAAAAGGCTGCCTTTTGTGTGGATATAGAGTTCTACTGAGTGGAAAGTTTGATTGACTGCGATGTTTAGATTTGTTCATACACAACTTAGATTGGTAGACATTTACTTTTTTTGTGTCTTGAAAGGAATGTGTGTGTCGATGAATGGTGTTGTGAATGGATGGGGAAGTTTTGGCTTCAATGCAGAGGGCTAATTCAATTTTCTGATGTTTTAATTAGTTAGCTCAGAACTCCTTAGACGAAACTCCACAAGTTCGCTCAACATCAGCAGGAAGGCCAGCAATGTCTCTTCGTGCAGCACCTCCATTGGTACCACCCAATAGAACAACACTGAGGACAGCAACTTCCCTGCCGCCATTGGATCCTCCCACCACTAATAGCAAAAAGGAGAACAGGTAAATAATCTTCTTTCTCTCGTGTCATTTGTATAATTGAACATTTGAAGGTCTGCCACTATTTTATGAATTTCAGAGGTTTAGGTATAGAGTAACTGAATAATTTTTATGCATTCTTTTAATGTCTTTGCTCATAGCATAGTTTACCTTAGTTTTCACTATCGTTCTCGTTCAGGCTTTCAAATGTATTCATACTATGTTAGGAGTTCAATTAATGTCTTGCTAATAGTTTCATTTCTATGCATGATATATAACCCCCTATCGGGTTTTTGGATTGGGGGTTCCTTTATATGAATGAATAATAAAAGTTAGAACATAATGGATTTGCATGAATTGCAGATTCTTGTCAGAAATAGGAAATTACAAAACAAAAGATCCAGGAGATCAACGTGATGCTTCTGCACTCCGTGATGAAGTATGTCAATGAATAACATCTATTTGAGTTTATTTTATCCTAACATCTCAATACGTGTCATTTGTATACTACTTTCGATAAATAAGGAAATTATTTTCTGTTTCCTATCATTGGAGTGGTACTTATTAACTATTTAAATTGCAGCTTGAAATGCTACAAGAAGAGAATTCGAATATTCTTGATAAGGTGCAATAAGTTATCCTTGTTATTTCTTAATTATTTAATTTAACTGAACTTATCTGTAACTGATTCCATTCTGAAATTTATCTTACAGCTTAGACATAAAGAAGAGAGATGCAATGAGACAGAGGCTAGAATTCGGGAACTTGAAAAACAGGTAAGTGCTCTATTATTATGATCTGCCCATAATGTTTGAGAGTGTGCCTTTATTAAACATGAAGTTTGCTTTTGTGAGTCTTCAGGTTACTGCGTTTGGCGAAGGCTTGTCTTTGGATGCAAAATTCTTGAGCAGGTGTACTAAAGTTAACTAACCTTCACGCCTGCCCTTTTCATTCTCATTTTCCTTTGATGACATCTTTTCTTGTTGCTTTGCAGAAAGGAAGCTTCCTTGCGGCAAAAAGAGGTAATTGTAGAAACTTGAAATGTTTTATTTTTGCCCCACCTAATTACAAGCCAAACCTACTTACAAACTCACTTGGTTGAAGTTTTTTGTTTTTATTTAACTTTTATCAGGAGTTTGCTAAACCAGAATGCACATGAATTATCTCAAAAAAAAAAAAAAAAAAATAAAATAAAAATAAAAAAAACACAAAAAACAAAACAAAGAAACTAAGGAGGCTTTTTTTATTGTTATAGGTTGCACTTAAAGATGCAAAACAGTCAAAAGATGAGGCCGACAAGGAAGTTGCGTCCCTTCGGTCTGAAGTTGAGGTAAGCATGCTACCGTGCGGCGTTGTCAGTCTGCCAAAAAAGAAATCTAAATCCAAGTCTTAAGGCTGAAGCATAACAAAATATTAAATATTATAGATTCACCGTACAAAAATATGTTTAGGAAATAGTACTTGGAAAAGCTTATTGAGAGTATGATTTATTCTTCATTGGCTCCTTGAGGAATTTTCTATTGCTACCACTGCAAATATTTTATAATTCTGTCTTTAACATAATTGCTTGAATCAGAAAGCAAAAGAAGCGAGTGACACTGTTATGAGACAACTTCATGGAGCTGAATCAGAAGTGAAATCCTTACGGTCAATGACACAAAGAATGATATTGACTCAAGAAGAAATGGTATTTGTACCCGTTTCTTGGAGCATATGAAATCATTGGTGATTAATTGTTTAGTTTCGCACTGCAGAGAGCATATTAGTAGCATCTGGAGGTTTTTTGATTATGTATATCCATATTTCAGGAAGAAGTAGTCCTCAAGAGGTGTTGGCTTGCACGCAATTGGGGTTTAGCTGCAAAGCTTGGTATCTATTCTACGTGATACTTGTCTTACTCTTCAGTGGTCCATTTTAAATTTATTCTGATAATTAATTACTCATTGAAATCCTTTTTTGTTTGCCTTTGCTTCCATTTTATTTTATTGAAAATAAACTAAATTTAATAATGGAAACAAAAACTAATACAAGACAATAAAAAGAGAGCAATCTGTCCTTTCATCTGACTCAATTTTACACAATCTCTGTAATGCCTTGTAGGTATATGTGCAGATATTGCAGTATCTAAGTATGAATACTGGTCATCATTAGCTCCTCTCCCATTTGAGGTCGTCATTTCTGCAGGACAAAAGGCTAAGGAGGAACGTTGGGAAAAAGGCTAGTAATCATCGTGCAGTGTTTTTTGTTAGTATATATTTTTGTATTGTTTGGTTATGTGACAAGAGTAGGTCATTGTAGTTACGGCATGCTTCTTCGTACATTGAACAGGTAATGATGATGTTGAGAGGAGAAACAAACTGGTGCAAGACTTGAATGATCTAACTGGAGAAGGAAACATTGAGAGTATGCTTGCAGTTGAAATGGGCTTGAAAGAGCTGGCTTCCTTGAAGGTGCACTTTAATGCATTGCCATCTTGTTTTGTTCTCATATTTTGTTATTCTCAGACTCAGACTCACCATGCTAGATTAGTATTTGTCTCTCTTTTTACTGTCTGTATTAGATTGCTTCAGTGATTTTCTTTCAGTAATCTGCGGCTTTTTTATTTTTCTCAATAATATATGATTTTTCGTACAACGAAGGTTGAGGATGAAATTGTGCTTGCATTGGCCGAACAACGGCGTCCAAACTCTGCTCGATTATCATTCTCTGGTATGCTTGTGTTTTTATATCATGTTGGCATGTATGGTTGACTTTTCTTCTGATATTTGCTATCATCTAAAGTTCCTACTGTCTTATGCACATACGGGTTTTTTCAGGTATCAAATCACCTGTTGATCCAAAGTTTATGGAGGCCATTGGTATGCCTCTCTTTCTTAGATATCAAGTCGTTGGATTATCCATAGTTTTCCATATTTAAAAATAAACAAACAAAATTTGGAAATGTTACTAACGTACTACATTATGGAATAGGGACAAAATAGTCACATATATCAGCATCCGATCAAATTACATAAATTTCTCATAAAACATTGTGCAGAGAGTCATTAACTCTCTCCTTTTTAAGTATTGTGTGAATTTAATCGATAAGATCTCCAGTTTTATTTACGTCGTAATCAAATGATGGATAGCTTTCAAAAATTTGTTTGTCATAGTGGTAATGTAATATGTACTGATATTAATGTTTTCTTGCAGAGTTGAGTCCAGAGGAGTCAGAGGATGTTCTTTTTAAGGAGGTCTGAAATTTCATCTCTTTTTATTCGTGTTTGTGTCCCATTCATTCAAAATCATTTTCCTTCTGTATACGCATTTATGTAATTACATGCACACTTCGATTGCTGAAGTTCAATTTAACGGATGCTATTCTGACCAACCTTTGTGGCTAAATTTTCAACTTAATAATAGGGTTTCTATAGATAGAAATATACCAGCTTGTTAATCAACTGCCGCATACATCTGATCTATAGAAACTTAATAAAATGGTCCAAGTAGTCACTTGTCATAATCTTCAAATTTATTAGTGATTTTGTTTTTCGGTCTAATAAACATACTAGTCTATGCGTTTCTTTGATACTATTCGTTTTTCACAAGGACAAGATCCTAATTACTGTTAATGTAATGACTTTAAATGTATTCAACTGCCGCAGGCATGGCTTACTTATTTTTGGAGAAGAGCCAAAGTTCTTGGTATAGAGGAGGACATTGCCAAAGAAAGAGTTCAGTTTTGGATTAACCGCAGTAGGCATGCACCGACTTCACATGATGCTGTTGATGGTAAGTTTTACTTTTTTTCTCAGAATTTTACATTTCACTCGGTCCTTGCACACAAAATCATTGCATTCCATTTCAATTAATTGGTTTTTGCCTAAATACGCGTGTTTTTTGATCAGTTGAGGAAGGGTTGATGGAACTCAGGAAATTGGGAATTGAGAGCCGGCTGTGGGAGGAATCCCGCAAGGCAATCGATCAAGAGTACTCTTCCGCATCTGTTGCGCAGAAATCCGCTCCACAATGAAGCTATGCTTGACGGTAAATATCTCTTAGATGTATTATGATCAGCTTTTGCCTGCATTTTTTTCTTGTTAGTTCATTTATTTGCGATAAACTGATTTTGTTGGAGCAATTTTATGAGATTCTGCCTAACACGGCGGCCGTAGTTAATACACGAGAGGTGAGTTCGTCTCTTGTAACACGTAGACATATTCGCAATCGAACACGAACAGTTCCAATTTTTGTACAGATGGAATTTCAGTATGCCCTTTTCTGTTCTATTTTTTTACAACTCTTATGGTTTGTTCCATTTGTTGTAAAGATAGCGGGCTGGTACTACACTTAAAGGAGATCTCATATGCATTATATTTCCCACCGATATTGGTAGGGAAATGATTTCTACTCTTTTTGCTATTGTGCATATTATTTTTTTCTTATCCAAACTTATGTTTGACTTTTGTGGGCAATAGCTAGAGGTGTTAAACAGGCCGGGCCGGCCTGGGTTAATTTAAAGCCAGCCCACGTGGATTTGAATTATGTTTGGGCATGCCCACTTAATAAATGAATCCTGCACTTAATAAAATATTAAGTCCAGCCCAGGTCGTGGCCTTGGCCCATTAAAACCAGGGCCGTGCTGTGATGGGTTACTAAACTGGCCGGTTTCGGCAAAACAAACTTTAGTTAATTTATTATTTTTTTATTTTTTATTTAAAAAAAAAACTGATTTGAACATGTTATTGAACTAAACATAACTTATATTAAGTCTCAACCTTAAAATGTATATATTTTTTTTTCTTGAACAAACGATAGTACTACACTAAGAGGGTGAGAAGTGGGCTATAAGTTTTACAATGGCTTTACCATAATAATGTGGTTCAAATTCTCCTTTGGCTAGAATTAAACCTAAGATCTCTCATTTACAAGTGAAAAAGAATATTATTAGACTCTAATACTAAGATCGTGGGTTGTGGGCCGGTCGGCCTTTTAAGCCAAAATCTTAGACTTGCCCCGCCCACTTATTACGAATCATAATGTGCCATGCTTTAATTAAATGAGCTTGAGTCGTGCCGTGTCTTATTTAAATGGGCTGTGCTTGTGTCTTGCTCGTGCCAACTCGCACGTTTGACACCTCTGGTTATGGCTTAGGAAGAACTGTATAAGTTGGCTACGAAAGATGAAAAATATGTTTCAAACAAGAGGGGAAGAAATAATGCTTCAAGGTGCGCTTTCTTTCAGAATTTATTTTTTCCCACCCATCTGCAATGCGGATATGCACTACCAAAATTGAACCAAACACATGAAAAGATGATTCACTTCATTTACGGGCTTGAGAAAGAAAGAATAAGGCTGGGAAATTGGTTTTGTCATCTCATAGATGGAACGTTGTAAAATGGCTGTTGGAGGCTTGGAATATTTGCCTAAACTCTCTCTCTCCTTCTCTCTCACTGGAGTCTCTGTCACGCGGTCCATGGCACTAAGCACGCTCTGCATATTTTGTTGAAGCCACTAGCCACAGTGACTAAAATATATATCGTAAGTGTCCCCCGGGGGCCATAAAATAAACTTACCACAAGAGTCAAGAGAGTTGGGCAACTGATCGACTAACTGGCACCAAATTTAGGGGAGAGAGAGAGAGAGAGAGATAGATGTCTACAATTTGCATTGTATTCTGGAGGATTGGATAGCAGCACTTAGCAGGATAGGCATGTGCACTTGAATATAATAGTACGCAGTGCCCCCCGTTGGGGCCATGGCCTTCTGGGTGGACTCCCCCACCCCATCCCAGTAAAAAGAAGAAAGAGAAAAAGAAAATGGTGAAAAGGTTCGCGTACAAATGAAAGAAAGACACTAGAATCCTAAAGGTGAATTTGACCCAATTCCCCTTCCCTATCGGTTTTTCCCCTTCCCATTTCTGTGAAATGGGACCCTTCTTTGCTAATAGACGGTTATTATAAACCCTAATCTAGAACCCCCATTGACACTACAAACACCCCTACATGTTTAACATCGTTTAGAATCTTCCTCCACTATAATTAAAGTTTGTGGTGAATGATTTCATCTGCATATCTGTGATTTTGACTATGTAACAAGGCATTGAGGCCGCTACCTAGTACTAGGTCTGGTGGTATTTTTTTTTATTTATAAGTAAAAAGTTTTCAGTTTGATTCTCGCCCAATGCGAATTTGAACTACATTATTGCAAGCACATTGTAAGACTTAGCCACTTACTCCCTCTTAATGTAGATAATATCGTTTGTTCAAAAATAAATAAATAAATAAATAAAGGCATTGGCGCCTACACAACTTAACAAAAACAACCCTAGAAATTAATTACAAATTGATATATTGTTGCCCTATCGGTCTATCAAACTATCAAGTCGATATTTTTCTTAAGCATTTGACTTACTACTAACTTACATGGACGCCAAATTGATGTCATATGAGTCTTTGTTCATCACCTTATATCTATAAGGTTAAAGCTGTCTTTGAAAAGGTTCTTATTTCTTGCTCATATGATTTCTATTAATCTACATATTATCATTTGAAGTCCATGTAAGGAAAAAAAATGGTAAGTCATGCTTTTGCTTATTTCAAATTTTCATAGCAAATGTTGATTTGCATGGAAAGTTTTGAAAAATGTAACCGATCTCAGTTTCTTTAACCGCAATCATTCTAATTTGTATAAAAAAAAAATAAGGAAAACTAATGAAAATGATTTGAAAACTTTAAGTTTTAACATGATTGATTTTTTAGTTTCTAAAAATGTGGTTTTTCGTTAAAGTAAACAATACCGAGAGCTTTTCGTTAAAGTTTCCTAAAAAATATGGAGCTATAATTTGTTTAACTGAATTATTTTTCTTATAGTCCGGTTGCTTACATGGAAAATATTGCCAGTGTAGATAGGCAAGTTTTGTTTCTTGACATATCATAATATTGACTGCGTTTAGATCAAAACACTCCCTCGAACAGTATGATCACAAGTGTCATTAATACAAAACTCAGAGTGTAAACACACCGGAAATTCAAAGATTACCATACAATTGGACGTATCTATCATGATTTTCCTCATAATTATTACACTGGAATCATTACACTGGATTAGATTATGCGTTGGGTTAATTAAGAGGTGAAGTTGGAACTCTCTTCTAAAACATACTTTTTTTTTTTTTTTTATCTCCACAGTTGTGAAAGTTGATGTGGAAGTTAGTAGAGATAGGACGGCAAGAAAAGAAAAGGCATACGTGGTGGGAGCGAGGAGGCTTCCTACATCAAAATGTAGAGGCGTGCATGGTGTGGCCCTGTGGGCGGCAAGGGCCGCGAGGCAGTGCGTTTTGGTAGGGCTTGCCTTTGGTCTCTACAAATCGGGTGGTCTAGCTTTGGTAAAAAAATTAAAATGTCACATTACATGGCATGTTTTCTCCGACATGCTCGAGTGAAAATCATTCCCCTCTTGGCCCCATCATCACCGCACAAACACACATGAGAGAGAGAGAGAGAGAGAGAGAGAGAGAGAGAGAGAGAGAGAGAGAGCTTCAAAGTCTCAAATCTTTTTTCTAGTTTTCACTTGTGTCAACAATTCATCCATTTTGTCAAGTGAAAAGCAGGTCTGACTTTACAAGTTTTCGTATTTATGCTTTAGGTTTCACCAATTTCTGACTTGTATCCGTGCTTTTGCGGAGACAAACCAACTAACAACGACTTATATACATCTATAAAGAAGCTTTACAAGTATAAGCTGAATATAAAGTATGAACTGAAACTTTGAAGGGTTTCACTTTCTGATCTAAATAATTAAATTTAGCTCTCCTCCCAATTAAAGTAAGCAGCATTCAATTTTTTTTTATTTTTATATATATTAGAATTGATGAACTTCAAGATAATCATATTAATTCCAAAATATTACAAAAAAATTATAATAATAATCAGGCATATTAATTGAAATGCCCCATAAAACTGCCATTTATTCTCAATTTATCCCTTGAAACTGGTTTTGTTTCAATTTACCCTCTGAAACTAACATTGTCAACTTGGTTTTACTTTGCCCCATTTCGTTAAAGAATTGTTAAATTCAAGCGTATTGTAGACATTTCAGTTTTCAAGGTTTAGTTAAATAAAAGCTTATTACCACACACGTCTTTGTATTTGTCCTCTAGCCCGAGGTCAATGGATTGATTGTGCAAAACAAATTAGGGTTTATGGAAGAGAGAGAAAGGAATTTAGGCATTTGATGGCTAATATGGGCGATGATGGCAGCTCGTTGTAATCCAAAGCAACCATTTTATTGTAAGTTAAAGTCGAAATTGTAATTAATTTATCGTCAAATTGTAATTAATTAATCAATGCTAATATATTTTTGCCATACCCATGCTAATCCCATCATCGTCCCAATCATGGAAACAAATAGTTGCAGCCCCATCGAGATCCAAAAAGAACGAAAGCCTAGAACTCGCGTGCCTACTTCTAATCCCGTTTAATCCCTCCCTGCCGCGCAGAATTGCATAAGGCCATTTAGTGAGGTGCGGAATCAATACGAATCCGAGTTAATCTCATTTATTTTAATTCTGGACTCTACTAAACATGGGTTATTAGTCCTAGCTAAGCTACTCCCACTTGATATATTTTTTGGTCCAAAGCTAAGAGCATTTCCAACAAGTTAGCTAAATAGGTTTTTTTTTGCTATTTTAGCAGGCCAAGAGAAAAAAGTGGAAGTCCAACAGACTAGCAATCCCACCAGCTAAATTAACAAAATGAACATTAGCCAGCAGGAGAGCGAATTTAGCATAATGTTAAACTTAAAATAATACTAAATTTGCATTCTCTCTCGTTTCCGACTGGTGCATCGTTGCTCCTTGTGTCTCTGCAACTCGGGCAATACCCCTACAAATCTGGCCAATAAAGGGAGGATTGGGTTGCTGGATTTGAGATCCTCTAATAGACTTAAGTTGGGATTGATATGTTGATAAAAAGGGAAAAATAATTGAGAACGATATTAGTGTGATTAGATGTGACGACCCGTCTTAAATTATTATTATATATATATATATATTTTTTTTTTCCTCTAGTGTGTAAAGTGATGATATTGTCCTCATTGGCTTAGTGACATGGATGTACATTTGTAGTTTTAAATTATTTCATTGCCGTTGTAATTAAATCGTATTCGGCGTTATGAACGCGTTGACGCGAGTTAGGGCCGAATCGGATTCGTAACGAAAATGTTACGATTATTTGAATACGTAAATGAGTAGAAATATTTTAGGATTGAGTACACCAATCACAATAGT